GGAAAGACAGTGACTCCCTGAATCAAAGGCTGAGGCAAAGAAAGGCTAGGAAGTCCTTCCTTGGTCCTAGGACCAGTGTGGATGGATTGAAGTCCTTTTTCAACTGAGTCTCTGTGGCTCTCCTTCCATTGCCCCTGTTGGTGCCTGGAAGGTGTTGTAGGGTGGGGCGCTATGGTCCGTATAATACCCATTTCCTTCTGTGTGTCCTTGTAGGAGGGAGGGTGTGTGTGTGGGAGAAAGAGAGAGCCTCTAGCTTGGGTAGAATCATAGGGATAACAAGTTTCTCTGCATGTCAGGAATCCCTAGAATGTCAGACACCTCAAGTCACTTAGAAGGACCTCAATTAATGTCCATACCAATCTCGAGGGAAGGCAGATTAACCACTTATTAATGCAGAAACGTGAGAGTGATCCGATTTCTCTGTGAATTTGGAGTCAGCAAAGGGACTCAGAGGACGGTCCCACCCCCTCTACTCCAGGATCATGCCACCGTGGGAAAGCCACTCAAGCGTCCCCATCCGGGGTGGAACCTGACTCTGGGGTCCTCTTTCCCAGGACCCAGATGTCTCCCCATCCGGGCGGGATGTACCTTCCCAAAGGGCATGGTGTAATATTCCACATGGTTGTCATTAATCTTCAGGGGCTCCTTGCTGTCATCGGCCACGATCACTATCAAGTCTGGGTAGTACTCACGAATGCTCCGTAGCATGGTCATGAGCTTGTGGGGACGGAGGAAGGTTTTGGTGGCAATGGTCACCAGGTCTCTGAGCTTCCTCTCTGGGCAAGAAAGGGTTGATGTCAGAACTCTGCCTTTTGGGAAGCCTCACTGATTTGACTTGCACTGTTCTGGTGATTTCTTTATGCCGCAACTTCTCAGTGTGGGCCTCGTGCCCAGCACACTTAGTAAGAGTTTGTTAGTTGGAATAGAAAATAAATATATTTACAACATAGCTAGCTTGCTGAAATTTAATCCATCTTCTAGAATTTCTTTCCCTGGTTCTGTTGGCCCAACTACGCCATCTCCTACTGTCTGTATGAATGCTTTGTCTTACCAGCACTTGGCTTGCACGCTGCTGTCATGTTAATCCTAGGAACTGAGATGCACAGAGCTCTGCCCATCAAGGGGTTCAAGATGGAGGGACACGGGGCAGGGCCGGGGAGTGGAGAAAGGTCTAAAGGACTTGAGACCTGCCCCTGTCATCAGCTGCACTCCTAGAGAGAAACACACTTGGTCTCTCTCCTCAGGAAGACATCAGTGGTCTGTAGCTCTCCTTGGAGAGTGGAAGGTCTGGACCAGATAGTCCAGCTTAAGGCATGTGATACCACAAAAACTTGGAAAAGGAGCAGCTTTTCTGCGGAAAAGGCCTCATGATGAATCACCTGGAGCTGTGGTGTGTTTTTGGGATTCAGTCATCAAACGTGGAGCCACGTCAGTGGACTGAGCCTGTGGGATATCTAGTTGGGGTGGGGTGGGTTCTGTTGGGAGTTAATGCATGCTGAAAGCCACAACCCTACCCGTGGCTTATGGATGAGTGTTCCAGAACCCCACTGCAGAGCCCCTTCTCAGAATGACAGAAGTCAGAAGTCTTTCCAGAATCCTCTTTTTAATACCTGTTGCACCATTACCCAGCTCCCCCTGGGTCGGAGGGCATGAGGGAAAAGTGATCAGTGGGAAGAGTCAAGTAAATGGTGTTCAAGGGCATGCCAAGTGAATCGTGTCCCCCCTTTTCTTGGGCCACATGCCAAGTTTGGTTCTTTTGTTATATAGTAAAGAGAGAACCAGGGGCATGAATTACTAGAGGATGTGGTCAAGATAGGGGGCTCCTGGCTAGGTTGGTGGTGTAGCTTTCTGTTTGAGAGTCCTTATTTTTTCCAAATATATAGCAGCGATAAAAATACAAAGATATAACTATGCTCAAAAATATACATTACTTCTAAGGAACAGAAATAAAAAGCAGTGATCAGAGCTGGGACCTGCCACATTCTGGGATCAGAAGCAGCAGAGGAGGCTGATTCTGAGGGGTAATGGAATTAAGGTGTCTCACGGGATGTGTGGGTCCAGAGCCAGGCTTTTTGCTAGAAGCCATGGACAAGAGCTAGGTTGCACACCCTCTATCCCTCATCACTAGGTAGTGTGATGGCCAGGCTAGGAACACCAGAACAGCCACCACCCCTGCACACACCTCTGGATGCCAACAGAAATGACACCACCTCACAGCCATGACCTGCGCCAAGCCACCCTCAGGCCCAGCAACTGGTTCTTTAATAACCCAATATCACCGTGTGGCAGGAACCCTGAGACTCCAGTATAAAATAGACCAGAAAGCTGAGCAGACACGGAATAGATCCAACGCTAAAGCTATGAGATGGGAAGGAGTCAGGAGAGAGAAGGGAGAGGAAAAAATAAGTGAGCGAAACCTCCTGCTCAAGATGAGCTCACCAACAAATATTACAGAACACTTAAAGAGAATTAGTATGAACGACAGCCGACGAATCTACCAAATCTATCGTGTACAGATGAACCCATTCCAGATAGACCGAAAATAATAGAGAAATCTGAAAATGATTTAAAATGAGAATGTTCAAGCAATGGCATACATACATTTTTTTCCCCTTTTTCTTTTTACAGAAACAATAGATTACTCTTCCCTCTCTTCTGTACCTGCTTATAACTTGGAAAGCATTTTGCAGCAGTATTAAAAAATCCCTCCTCCTGTGTTTCCCCTCCCTCCTTCTAAATGCCACTGCATGGAATTTCATTATATGGATGGAGCACACTTGATCTCATCACTGCATCGCACCTGGAAGGTTTTTGTCTTCGCAAACAATGCTGCAATAAAGAACCCCAAACAAACATCATTTCACACATATATAAGTATCTGTACGATCATTTCTAGAAGTGCAATTGGTGGGCCGAAAGGAATGCACATCCCAAATGTTGATAGGTATTGCCAAACTGCCTCCGGAAAGGCTGTGCCAATTTACATTTCCCACCAGGAGTTTATAAGAATTCCTGCCCCCCACTCTTTGTCCAATACTTTCTGATATGAATGTATTTTTCATTTGCATTTCTTTTTAGTATGAGACTGAGCATATATTTTAATGGCTAAAAGTATTGAATTTAATCTGTTGCCAACTGTGCGTTTTTCCATTGGCTTATTAGGTGTTTGGTTTTTTGTTTTGTTTTGTTTAGGTGTTTTTAAAAAAAAAAAATTGCCCACCTGGGTGGCTAAGATGGTTAAGTGTCTGCCTTCGGCTCAGGTCATGATCCCAGGGTCCTGGGATGGAGTCCCACATCGGGCTCCTTGCTCAGCAGAGAGCCTGCTTCTCCCTCTGCCTGTCGCTCCCCCCTGCTTGTGCTCTCTCTCTCTCACTCTCTCTGGCAAATAAATAAATAAAATCTTTAAAAACACTTACTTATTTCAGTAATCTCTACAAGGTGGGACTTAAACTCCTGATGGCTCAGTCATTGAGCATCTGCCTTCGGCTTAGGTCATGGTCCTGGGGTCCTGGGATCGAGCCCCGCATCAGGCTCCCTGCTCTGCGGGAAGCCTACTTCTCCCTCTCCCACTCCCCCTGCTTGTGTTCCCTCTCTCGCTGTGTATCTCTCTGTCAAAAAAATAAATAAAATCTTAAAAAAAAAACCAAAAAACAAACTTCTGACCCCCAGATCAAGAGGTGCATGCTCCACTGACCGAGCCAGCCCGGCACGGAGGCCTACCTATTAGGTGTTCTTATGGATTCATAGGCACTTTCAAGTAAAAGTACACCTTTGACTTTAGTGTGTGTTGAAGATATTTTTTTCGCCAATTTGTCCTTTGTCATTTGTCTTTGCTTTTGGTGGTTTTCTGCCCTAAAAACATTTAAAAATTTTATGTATTTTATGTGTGTAGTCTTTTCTTTCTGGTCTTTGTGTTTTGTGTCATATTTAGAAAGGTCTTATACTTTAAGATTATGTTTTAAACTCCACGGGTTTTTTTCTAGCACCTAAAAATATGAGATATTTGATCAATTTGGAATTTATCTTGGTATGAGCTGTAAGATAGATTCAACTTTGTATCTTCCTTTATCAACACAGTTGTCCCATGTGATTTCTTGGATCATCCATCTCTTCACCCTTTAATTTGGAAAGCTACCTTGATCACATGGTAAAGCTCCAACATATCTGTCTCTGGGTTTCCAATTCGACTCCATTGATATATCTAGCCATGGTCCAATACCACACTGTTTTTATTACTATTACTTATTAAGATGTTATAATTAATTTTTTTTTCAAAATAAGCACAACCACATAATAAGTTAAATACAATTAAGTAATATTAGGAGAATTTAGAATTTTCTTTCTTGTTTGTCAGGAATCATATCAGAGCAATTATTTTCATCAATTCTTCTCCTGCACCTCAGAGCTGGTCCCTTCCGAGTTTCACCAACTAGCTACAAGATCCCGCCTTGGAGCCCCAGGAGCAAGGGTCTTACCTGGTCCAGGGTCATATAACTTGGGGATGACAGGATAGCGGATGGTCACTGGAAACTTGACCACCGAGGACTTGGACTCCAGACTCACTGGAGGGAGAAATAAGGTCAAGGAGGACAGCACAGAGTCTAGGTCACTCTCCACACTGCCCCAAGGAAGCCGATTTGCAGCAGGGGTAAAGGCTCAGTAGAGAATGTCTGCCTGGGAGGAGACCCCACAGAGTCGACAGCATTCTGCCTCCTGACTTGCTGTGTGTCTCTGGGGTAACTGGCTGAATGCCTCCTTCTTTTTTTTTTTTTTTTTAAATTAAGTAATCTCCCTGCCCAACGCAAGGCTTGAACTCAGGACTCTGAGATCAAGAGTCGCATGCTCCACCAATGAGCCAACCAGGCGCCCCCTGCTGAATGTCCCTTAACTCGCATTTCTTCCACTGTGAGAGTCTGGTGGGGTGGAATGGGTTTGGAATCATAGGGTCTGGATTAAGTTTGACTTTACCATTTATTACCTGAACTACCTTGGGTAAATTAGCGCTTGTTTCAGCAGTTCAAATACTCAAATTGGAAAGATACAGAGATCAGCATGGCCCCTGCACAGGGACTACACGCAAATTCGAAACACCTTGGGTAAATCACTTACTCTCCTCCAGCTACAAAACCAGGATAACACCACCTGCCCTGTTCTATCTCGCAGGGTCATTTGGTGAAAGGAAATGTTTGGGAATCTGAAAGTAGAGAGAGCGCTCTCTTTAGTTTGTGCTCATGCATAATCTATCCTGTGTTTCAGTTTTCTGTTGGTGTCCTGGGAATGCATCCTGGGTAGCTAGTCAAAAGAGAAAAGAGTGACTTTAATTCCCCCACGTCTCTCTTTTCCTGAAGGTGCCCAAGACAAGACACTGATGCACAGACTGGGTCCCTCCTCTCTCACAGGTGAAGTCTTCAGCTCTGAGAGCTACGGATAATGGGGAACAGAGCCGGGTGGTTTCCAGGTGCATTGCATGAATGATCTGCCCTCACAGAGAGATGCATGTTCTTTCCTTCAAGTCACGCTGTGGGGTCAGTGGCAACATGGGGGTAATGTTGGGGACAGTAATTGAGAAGTTAGAGGTCTAGGTTTAGAAACAAGAGCAAGGGAAAGATCCTAAACGCTGGCAGGCTTCCTGGAGGAGGAAGACTTTGAGAGGGCCCGGTGGTGTTTTCCCACTCCCTAAGCGTTTTGCCATCCAAGGACAGGCTCTCACCGACATCCACCCTGTGGTGCAGGTACACCGTGCTGGTGTATGTCAGGTGCTGGAGGATGAAATTCAAAAGCTTCCGGTCACTGGTCGAAATGGTCAGCTGCTTCTGGCCTCTGCCCTGCACCACACTGTCTGGGATGTCAGCGAGAGTATTCAGTGTCCCCAGAGAAGCTGTCAGGGTGACCTAAGGTGGGCGAGGTAGAAAGACGCTAAATGCAAGGGAAAGCACATGCCCCGGACTGGCCAGCAGGGGGCAGAGCGCGTGAGGCTGAGCGGAGGCGCCCCCGGATGTCCCTGGAAGCTGGGGTCTGGCTCCAAAGCCCTCCGCTGCTCTATCCCCGGCGAAGTAGAATCAAGTCCTGGGGACTCGTGTGTTCAAGGGCCATTGCTCTCTTAGGTCTTGGCTTACAGGATCCCATTCTAGATTTCTTCTTACTCCCTCTGACCGCCCCTTTTGATTTCCAACTGCCTCCGACCGCCTCCTCCTCCGCCTCCGTCTGACCTCCCGGTGGAGTTTTTCCAAGGTTGGTTCCGTGCCCTTTTCTCTGACTATTCAACACCGTCACACTAGAGGAGGCGGCTTTAAATACCATTCAGATGCTAATGGCTTAAAAATGTGTGTCTCTAGCTCCCGTCTTTCTGAGACCCAACTGCCGGGCTGGTTGCTCTGCTAGGAAGTGCCACGGGCAACCGAAATCTTTACAACTGCTGATTTTTCTCTGTAAACCTGTTTGCCACTCTCTCCCTGGTTCCCCCTGCCTCGTGAATGGCACCTTCATCCATTCAACTATTGAAGTCCCTAAAGGAGGTCATTGCTCTTCTGAGGGAGTCTTGTTGGGTCTACCTTCAACATGGAGCTAGAACTGGTCCCTTTCTCTCCATCCCATTGCTACTCCCTAAAGCAACTCTCCTCTCCTGCCTTCTCGTCCTCTGGGCAGCCGGGTGTTTTTATGAAAAGTACACTGGGTTATGTCACGCCTGCTGAAAACACTTCGGTCAGCCAACAGGTGTTTTCTGAGGTCCAAATTATAGGTCTTGGGAAAAGAGTAGTGAATACAACCAACTCCCCACCTTCAAGAGGCTTATATTCTAGTCGGGGAGAATGGCGGTAAGCATATCATGATGCATATAAAATAATTCAGGTACAGGAAAGCACCACGAAGAGGATAACACAGAGCACCTGGAAAGTGGCAGAGGTGGGGGAGGGGTGCTTTGCTGGTAGTGGGGGAGGGCAGAGCAGGCTGTTGAGGATAGAGTAGTCTGTTTTGCAGATTTGCTCACTCATCACCCACTCCAACCTCTGGCATGCAGAGTGGGAAAACTAAAACTACATTTCCCAGACTCCTTTTTAGATTAGGGTTCTGGATGCAGTTTGCCTCCCAGCCATCACTCTATGGGCACAAGGGCTGGATTTGGAGCTACATTAAGCGGGGAACGAAAGGCAGGGCACGGAACCCCGGTCTTGCTGGCTGGCACTAACCCTGGCGGAGGCAACACGCACCGGCAACATGCAATTCCTCTGGCAGCAAGGCCAACAGCATCTGTGCTGGCCCGGGGCTCTGGAAGTCCTTGGAACTGCAGCCACTGAATGGCTGGAAAAATCTGCCTTCTGGAGGCATCCTACCCCCTCTCCCCACCTTGGACTCGTGTCGGATATTTAATCTGGATGAGCACTCTGTCAAAATTCAAGACCCATGACCATTGGGCACGACCAGCCATCACTGGGCAGTGATGCCAAGTGCAAAAAGAGGCTGGGAAGGGGACTTGCCTCATAGATGGGGGCCTCTGGTCCTTCAAACTGGAGACCTGGAGGACAGAAAAAAGGATAAAAAACACCATTTGAGAGGATGCCAAGGGCTCCCTGATGCTCGCTACCTTCCTGATGACTCCTACAAATCCTTCCACAATCCTTTCCGGGGTCACCTCTTATCCAGGGTGTTTGCTGACCACTCCCCTCTCCCTGGGGTCCTGTTAGGGGTGTCCCATGGTCCTTCTCAAATTCCAGTGCATCTAAAGCCTCTGATGCCCACCCTCAGCATTGGACATGTTCTGTGAATTAATCCAGCCCCTTCCAGGATCTCTGTTACTGAAGGGAAGGCAGCAATGGATAAGTAATGAATCGTCTTTATGTGAGGTCCCTAGAATAGTCAAATTGGTAGAGATGAGACAAGACATTCTACTGAATGGTGGTTGCCACAGGTGGGGGTCGGGTGGGGGGAAGGGAGTCAACGTTAAATGGGTACAGAGTTTCAATGGGGGAAGATTACAAAGGTCTGGAGATGGATGATGGTCGCAGCTGCAGAACAATGAGAATATACTTAATGCCACAAAACTGTGTGCTTAAAAATGATTAATATAGTAAATTTTATGTTTTGCATATTTTACATGCAAAAAAGGGAATCATCCAAAATGGCAAATGACCTTTTTAAATGACTATTCAAAAATACTAGCAATTCCTCCAAATGTATTTACTTTAGAATCTATCTCTGTTCTCATAATATGACTAATTCAAGTTCTAATTCAAATATAGCCTCCCTATGGGGTCTTAGATAACTTAAGTCATCTGTGAAATTGGCAAAATGACATTTACCTCACAGGGATGTGGTGCTGAACTAGAGAAGTGTGTACAAATCCCTTGTGGAGGGGGGTTTTAACCAACATAAATGTTCTTTTCAATATACTCTCCCAGGAGATGGGCTCATCTTTGCCTGGGCTCATGATGCTGGAGGACCTCAAAAAGCCAATCATGTCCTACGATTCCCTGAGGCACACAGATTTCTGTCCTCTTCTGTGTTATCTCAGATCCCCGGGGAGGTCACATCGGCTAAGGGCGGTTCCCAATGGTGGAAACACTGAGACTAACCATTAAATGAAATCATGTCAAGCTTCCCGCATTGTGCTGAGTACACAGCAGATACTCAGTGAATGACTGTTCGCATCCACTCCCCCATTTTGCTTAAGAAGAGTTAAGAAAGTTGCCTGGCTCCTCTCCACATGGAGATGTACCTACCTGGGATGGGAACTGTGTGCAGGGGCATCACCTCTACCCCATGGACCGGGTACCCAAAAGGGAGGTTGGGCTGAGCCAGCAGCGGAGGTGGACGGGGCAACCCTTCTCTGCAGGAAACAGTAGCAGAACCGTTAGCAGCTGCTCTCACGCGCCCCCCTGGTTAGTTCTGACAGTGGTACCTGTGCCCGGAGCTCCTTGCTGCCCATGGGGAGAAATGGAAAGTAGATGGTCCTGTTCACCCCTCCAATTCCCTCCCTCCTTTATTCACCCCTCCATTCCCTTCCCTCCAGCCTTGAATTCTGCAAAGGAATTGAGGCAGTTTACAACAAAGCACATACAAAATTAAAAACACAACCCGGGAGAAAGAAGAAACAAAATAACAAGACCATCTGGGTGAACCCAGCGGCAGCAGCCAAATGCCAGGGTCACATGTGAACTTCCTGGTAGTCAGGGTATAAAGCGATGGACAGTCAGTACTCTGGTCTTATTATCAACAGGACAAAGCAGACAACTTCTGAGGCAAATAAACCTTTTCCTGGCACTGAACTCAAAAAGAAAATACATCACAAGAAATGTGATTTGTTGCCTCGGTATTTTCAGAGCAAACGCGGTGATGATTTTCATATGATTTTGTTGTTATAACAACCTCAGTCAAGGGCAAGCACATAACAAGCCAGCGAGATGGATTCTTTGGGGGACTACGGTAATATGGTTGAAATGCAGCCTTTGGGGATCCAGCGTGGCCAAGGGTATCATTTAGATCACCTGGAAGAAAAATTAGACTACTCTAGTGAATATCTGAGAATACGAAAGAGACAAAATTTAAAAATGGGAAATGATGTAAATAGGCAATTAAGAGAAGAGGAAGTACAAATGGCTAATGCATAAATGAAGCGTGCTCAGTTTCAAAATTAACCAGGGAAATGCAACTTTAAAAACAATGAACTGGAGGTGCCTGGCTGGCTCAGTTGGTAGAGCCTATGACTGTTGATCTCAGGGTTGTAAATTCAAGCCCCACGTTGGGTGTAGAGATTGCTTAAAATAAAATCAAATCTTAAAAAACAACAACAACGACAAGGAAATACCTTTTTCATTAATGTTTCAAAACGTAGTGATAAGGAGTATTGGTTAGGTAGGGGGTGGTTCTACCCTTACCCACTCCTCGCGAAAGTGTGAATTAACATAGGTCCTCTTGAATGCAATTTGCCAGTATTCATTAAAAGTAGAGTGAGCAATTCAGATGCTAATTAAGGGGAGAAACACCTCCCTGTGTAAACAACGACGTGCATAAGGAGGTTCATTTCAGCACTGTTGAAATGAACATCCTGGGGCACCTGGGTGGCTCAGTCATTAGGCGCCTGCCTTTGGCTCGGGTCACGATCCCAGG